TATCTCCCCACTTTGGAGTCTCCTTGCTTGTTTTATATAAAATGTCTAGGATTTTTAGAAGTACTTATCCAAAGGAATTGGGAAATTGGGAAATGATATAGCAATTCCACATTTCCAGAAGCAAAAGTCATTAATGACAATCACTTGATGACCAGTTGTAACTTACCATTAAGAAAAGAAAAACATTATTTCTAAAATGATCAAAAGAAAGGAGTTTTAAAAGACTCCTGAAATTAACTATTTCACTTCAAGGGAACTGTCCTACTCAAATGAGAAATATAAAATAAGTCGTCGACTCATTTTGTAAACTACTCATTCATACATTTCCCTATAAGGGACATTTAGTCATCTTTATCTTTAACATAGTTCTTTATGTTTTTAAATTAGAGAGTTAAAAATTTAATGTTAGGACAAAATGTGCTATGATGTTTTTCTTCAAAAACTAATATGCTTCTCTCAATATTAAAAATTATACAATTCTTAATACTTCCATATTACTTTTTCTACAAGCTTACTCAGAGCTAAATTTTGTTCTTAATTTCAATTCACTTGCATTTTGTAGTTTTTTCTGCTGCTTTACTCTCCTTTATTACACGACTCTTAGTCTCTGCTTTATAATTCTAATATGACTATAATGGTTTCAAAATAAATCTTTTCAAATTCATTTTGAAAACAGATTATGTAGAAACAATGAGCTTTCTGAATTTATTTTGGAAGAATTTATGGGAGACAATCTAATTGAAAGGGTATTCCAGAAGACTTTCAAAATTGTGTTCCTAGGATAAGAACATTAAGTTGATTTCCATTATTTTCTTAACTGCCAAGGATGTGGCAACATCAGGTTTTTAGAAGTATCTCAGTAGTATATGTTCTAGCTGTAAGTTTTAAGAGAGAAAATGAAGTTTAAAATAACAGAAAATGAAATTAATAAGCAAGAAACATTTAAAAATTATTTTCCTGGTGGTGTTGGTGGTATAGTGATGAGCTTAGCTGCCTTCCAAAAATTATTTTCTCTAAAATGTTCTAAACTTAAATGTTTACTATTTTTTTGTTAGGGACATTATCAGATAGTGGAAAGAGTCAGAATTGGGCATAAAGATCAGTTTACTATCAATTCTAGTGTTCTAATTCTATCAATTAGTACTAGTGTGTTACCCTAGGAAGTTATTTAACTTCCTTAAGTTTAGTTTTCCATGAGTGAAATGAGGATAGAGTACTTACCTAACACGATTGTGAGAATTAAAATAATATGCCAAATTTAACTTACCTAGCACATTGTCTGGCTCACCAAAATCATGCAGAGATCTGTTTCTCTTCTTCCTCCAGTTCCTTTGCTGTATGCTTGTAACTCCCTCTGTCCACATGTAAATTTAATAGGTTTTGAATAGTTTTCAAACAACATAAAATTTAAAAAGCTTAGAACTTTGTTTTCTGCAATTATTTTTTAACAGTTCCTTCTTAAAGAGGAAAGCTGTAATGAGAACTTTTTTGGATGTTTTAAACTATTTTAAGAAAATAAGAATTTTTCATGTGAAAAATACAGAAGCTGCTGAGAAATCCTATTAATCCAGTGAAAATTATTCCATACCCCAACATTTTTTACAGAATAACTCTGCAGCTATAAAAATGACTTTGAATAATGCACAGCACGGCCTGCAAACAGTAAACCCCTCAATCTAAGATTTTCTTTTAGCTTACATTTGTAGTTTGTTTCAACTTAATAAACTTTTTTTTCTTGTGGTTAGAAAATTAACTCATGGATTGGCAGTAGTGGAAACTGTTGCGGGGCGGGGGGCAGGTGTGCAGGGTGGGACTGGCAATAGTGAGAATCTGCCAGGGGAGGTGGGGCACACTTCATCAACAAGGGTACCTGCATAATGAACATTTGTATACCTAACTCTGAATTGTACCCCACATCTTTAAAATAAAAAATAATTAATTAAATTAAATTAACTCATATGAATTATAAGGGGGAAAGAAAAAATAAAAAACTCATTATCTCATCACCTAGAGATATCCCATTTTGCAGTTTATGTTTATATATACAATGAAAAATTACAAAAACCTCCTGATAACACATAATGTAATGAATTTCATGATTTTTATCTTAGAAAATATTCAAAGTGAGTAAATGGTAAGAAGATAAAACACAATTTAATATAAACAATCTAATTGAAAATGGAGGGATAGCAGAATTATGAGATCCAGGTATGAGGAACTGATGCTATAGTTTAATTTAACATTAATATCTAAAGTATCTAGGAGAATAGATGAATGAACTGGGTATTCTTCAGGCTGTCATGCCAGAAATATGGTTTTGTAAGTTGTTATTTGATAAGCATTAATGAGTCTCAGGAAGCAGAAATTATGGTTAGGCCTATGACAGTTTCTGGAGTACAAGTATTTTATGTCTCCAATTAGGGGCTGAACCATACATCCCAAATCACCAAATGAGCTGGTCATTCTTTGGGGACTTACAGCAAATATGACTTAGTAGTTCAATAATGAGATACAGAACCTTTAGCCTTTTGGGGTGAGGAAAAGCCATTATTGGTCAATACCCTACAAGAGGTATAATGAATTGCTTAGCTTCATTCAGGTTTTTTTTTTCCCATTTGACAGTTATTTGTTATCAGTTTTAGATCCAATGAATGACCCTTTGCCACTAAAGTTCACGTGTCCTGACTAGATTTGAACAGTCTTTCAAAATGTAGAAGCAAAAGCAATCTGTGAGCACCATTTTTCTGGTTGTTTCTAAAATTTTCAAGACAGTTCATTCATTTACTTTTACTGAGTCTAGAAAATGGCTTTAAAATTGTACACTAAGTAGAAATATTTTACTTGAGTTTTACTGAGCTGCTGTTTTGTAAGCCAAAGCTAGCTACTTCTTTCTTTTCTAGGTAAAGAAGCTGTGAAGTCTTTTTCTTTGTACAGAAAACCATGTTTGTATTGTGAAAATTATGCAGTTTTATTGCTTTTCTTAGTGACAGATTTCTTCCTGAATTGTCTGTGCAGGACCTTTTTGCTCTTTTACTAAGGCAAGGTTTGTGGATTTTCTGTGGTATATCTGAGAAACAGATGCTTTGTACTCCATGTCAAAGTCAGTTGAAGCTGTCAATTGTGTGTCTTAGTTTAAATAACCCCATATTATATACTCTCTAATAGGTCAACGATATGCTCATAGAAATGATTGGCAAAGACTGAGTGGGAAAAAAAGTATTAACAAAAAGAGTTAGTAGCTCAGGGAAGAATTAGGCCTTGTTTCAAATTCAAATTCTAGGGTCCTATATCCAGGAATGACAAGAGCAAATGTCTACAATAATAGGTAATAAAATAGAAATAGGTTTCCAATTGTCCAATGTTGAAAGAAAAAAAGTAATAATCTAATAATAACAAAACCTAATAATAATTTAATAATCCATGACTGAATATTTGGCCAAAGCTTAGTGCCTGGCACAGAAGTTAACAGAAGCACATGGATCTAGCTATCTGATAATATATATCACACTATAAGTAAATTTATAGCTAAAAATAATTTTGCTTCCTTTATAATCCCAGTGCCTAAAAGAGGACTTTGCACAAACTAAAGGTTTAGGTGAATGAATGAATGCATGGATGAATAAATGAATGAATAAATGAATGAACTGTTATAACTTAGCTTATATAGCTGTCTAAAGGGATTGCCACAGAATTTTACAGATGAGAGAAGTTAATTGAAGCCTAAGGATCGGAGATTTGCTGGAGAAGTGAAATAATAAATTTCATGAAACATATTTACCAGAAAAACAGCCCTCTGATCAGTTTAGTTTTCGGTTACCTACAACTGTATAATTTAACACTACAGTAAAATTATAAGACCATTATATATGATCCCATTTTAATTTATCATCGTGTGACTCCACTTTTTCTTCATCTATTCCTCAGTGATTACAGTACTAACTACCTCCAACCACTAGAAGATAAGGACTGAAAAACAGAAGAAGTAAAATTCTGATGTTTATTCCATTAATTGATATCTCTGGTAGAGCAAAATTTAAAGTGAATTCCCTGGTAGAGCAAAATTTAAAGTGAATTCTAAGAGCAAAATTTAAAGTGAATTCCCTGTATACCTGTATTAGTCAATTATTTATGATTTCCCTTTCTGTTATTATTTAAATCATTGAAATTAACTTCAAGCAATAATACAACTGAAGTATATTTCTAAAAGCAGGTATATATATATATATATATAGTGTTTTTTTTCACAATTCAGCCTTGATGTCTGAAAGGGTGGGGACACTGTAAACAAGTTTTTGTTTACATGTGTCCATGTGGATAACACTTGAACAAAATATAACTCTCTGGATAGGGCACAGTGGATAAAAACTATCATAATTTTTTATTTATTTGGGAAAGCTTTTATTGATGACATTGAGTTCTGGTGTGTGTTTATTACTTTTTAAAAAAATTTTGATACCTTTGGGGGACACAAATAGTGTTTGGACTGGATTTTAAGAGTACCCACCACCACCACCTGTGCACATTGTACCCAGTAGGTAACATTTTCATCCTTCCACCCCGTCTCCTCCCCATTCTGAGTCTCCAGTGTCCATTACATCATTTTCTAGAAGTACCATAACATGTTTACTCAATGTCTTTATATGGTAGTATAAAATGATAAACTCCTTTATTCATCCTATACAAACAAAATTTTATACTCCCTGTTGCCAACATGAAGTCCTCTTCGAAATCAGTGAAACATGAGATATAAGAGTACCTAGGAAGGGAAAATTATTTCATGTTTTTCTCATGAGTTTTCCTGATAACAATTGCCTGTGTTTTCCTATTTACCCGTAGCTTCGTCAAAGACCCTTCACCACTTCCATAGAGTCACTACCAGAGGTCACAGATCACAAAAAAACCTACAGAAACAGGAAATCGAGCTTCCCGAGTCCACCAAAAAGCACAGAAACCTGTTTCCTTTGCACATCTCAAATTGGCTGAGCTCTGTGTGTCAGATGCAGTTTGGGAGCAGCTATCAAAAAGGCTAGAAGGACTTTGTTCCCCAATTTCACATGAGCTTTATTGCTTCAAACTACTGAGATGAAGGGGGCGAGATTATTTTTCCTGCTTTCTAGTATATGGAGTGGAGGCATTGGGCTTAACAACAGTAAGCTTTCTTGGACTTCACCTGAAGATGAAAACTCCCAGAAGACTGTGACCTCTGCTTCAGTTCATCTGACTAAAACACAAAGCTTCCCAATGCTGCCAACCACTCAGGTCATGTCGGCTGAGACAGCTACAATTCCTGAGACAAGAACTTATGAAGAAAATCTTCTAAAATCAGTATTGCCTTCCTCGAAGACAAGCCCACATCCTGATGGTGTGAGAAACCAAACTCTCACACCCACAGAGACAACAAAAGAAGGAATGGTAATGTTACAAAATCTTGCCATTCCAACCAAATCTAGCATCAGGTTCAATCCTGGAGCAGAGTCAGTGATCCTTTCTAATTCTACACTGAAATTTCTTCAGAGCTTTGCCAGAAAGTCAAACCAACAACCAGTTTCTCCAAACTCAGTTGGTGGTGTGGGAAATCTATCCCCACGGGAAACATACCTCAGCAGAGGGGACAGCAGTCCAAGCCAAAGAAGTGACTCTCAAAAATCAAGCTTCGAAACAACGAGAGGAAAGTAAGAAATATTCTCGTCTTTTCTTTTATTTTCTTTTTCTTCTTTCTCTGACTATAAGGTCTATATGATTGCAAGTGAACTGTTTACACTTTCTGACTCCCAGAAAATTATATCCAGTTCAAGATGAAACCGAATCCTATTTGTAATTTGAAATTCATTGTTGATTTATCTAATTGAGAAAAATATGAACAAATAAAATACAGCCATTTTTTAAAACTGAAATAGTCAAAGTTACTTTTCTCTTCATTTATAGAGTGCTTTGACTTGAAATAGTGCCTACCAAAAAAGTAGCACCATGGTGGCTGTTAGTTTGTTTAATTCAACTCAGGAATACATTGATTGTACTCCCAACTACACACACAATGTAAAAGACAAAAATAAATAAGTAAATATATAAAATTGAGACATGAACAAATTTGAAAATTGGAAATGCCTGTTGCTGTTACAGAAAATACAGAGTTCTCAAAAATCAAACCAACCAGAACTGGGTTGCAATCCTGGCTCAGTACTGTCTAGATCCATGACTTTGAGCAAGTCCACTGATCTCCCCGAACCTCAGTTTCTTCATACGTAAACTACAGATGTGATATAGGGAATGCAGATTAAAAATACTACTTTGCAGGGTTATCATGAAGATTCAAATTAATGGCATGTGCTAAGAAGCATGATTCTTTCAGAATAGGTGAACAATTTAAATTTTACTAGCACTGACTGTTATGTTGAGTTATGTTGTAATCATGAATGTGATGAAACAGAAAAGTCTATTTTTCAAATAGATTTTGACTTAAAATTAAATAAAATGTAAAACAATGCTTAAAGCAATATTGTTTTTTTAAAAAAGCTTTCAAATGGAGTAGAAAGAAAATATACACACAAGTCAAAACAAAGAAAAAAATACCTGGGCAAGTCAATGTTTTATTCATTTTATGTTCAGAGTCATCTGTATGTTTGAAATACAAGAAGTTTAGTATTACAAAACTAAACTTACAAATACCTTTACATATGATAAAGCAAAGGAAAGTCAAGACACTAAGCATGGTATGGGAGCTAAATTGAATTAAACATTGTTACTAATAATAAAATAAAATTCAGTTTAAAAATAGTAGTTGACACCGCTATGTGAAAGGCATTTGATGAAAGCTGTTGTTGATATAAAGATGAAAAGAAACACTGGGAAGGATACAAGCGAATGAATTTGCTTATTTCTGTATTCTTTATTATCCATTATTAAAGTCTATTTTTTACTATCTTTCAGAAGTTATAGAATTTTTAAAAATATACAAGAAAAATCTAATTTTAACTAAAAACGTGTTCACTTGGTGAAATTTGAAACAATCCCAACTTTTATTGTAAAACAAATGGTACAGATTACAAAATGGTCAACTTAGAATGAGTAGGTTTTGTCTGTAACAAACATTTAACAGGCATATATCAATCTTTCTTATTTTGAAAGACAAGATTTTGTGTATTAAATAGTAATGAAAAAGTCACTTATTAAGAGCTTTTGCTAGGTTATTTGCATGTATCATTTTTATTAATCATATTTTGTTAAAGGTTATAATTCAATTTTTCAGCTAATTACAATATAATATATAATGTAAAAGAACAGAAAGATTTCAAGTTGAAATATTACTTAAATTTTACATAGCATATAGAAGTAGTGCTATAGTGTGCCATAATTAGAACTAGTAATGAATAGTTTGATAAATACTAGTTTTTAAATAAATGTTTTATGCAAGACTATCACTTATAAAACTTGGACACATATATTTGATGATTATTTTTAAATCACCTATCATGTGTCTAACACTGTGCTAGGCTGTGAGATACAAAGAATTTTAATAATAATAATAATTCCTGCATCTAAGGAATACTTCCTATAAAAGTAGACACCAACATATCCATCAGATTTCAAAAAAATTCAGTGAGTTACGAGAAATCCAGATATTAAATGTACAACTTGATGAACAGAACTTTATTCTATGGATTTTACAACAAAAATAATCTTAAACTTTTTCTATAGAAAAGTACCAATTGCTTAGAGACTCCAAGTTTGAGTTCTTGGAGACCCTGAGGTTTCTTTAAGTAATCCTTTTATTTACCAAGATTTCTTTCTCATTAGGCCACGCAAATGACAATGGTTTAGAGAAAACCTAGGTCCCTCTCATATGGACACAGCACTGGGGCAAGAAGCTTTGATAAGGCCAAAAGAAGTCTTTCATTTGATTAGGAAATAATAATAACAGTAGCAAACATTTTTCCTAGTACTATACATATATGTGTGTGCATACATATATAATATATGTACGTATATTATATGTATATACACAATGTCACTTATATGTGTGTGTGCATGTGTGTGTACATATATAATATGTATGTATATATTTAAAGGAAGATTCTGTCATAATTACCTTACAAAGAGGTTGTATAACTTACCTAAGGTCACTTAGCTAACAAATCTCAGGACAAAGATTCAAACCAAAACTGGCTGCCTGCAGAGTCTTAATTTTCAGCTCCTACATTAAACTTCCTTGGTAAGCTCAGTCTGTTAACCTGACCAGTTCACATTCCTTCAGAGACTATAGGTTACCTCCAGGATATAGTCCACATTCCTCACCCAGTTAGTTACACAATGCCATTCTAGACCTGGCTCCTACCTGTCTCTGCAGTCGCAGCTTCTGCCACTTCCTGCCTATTCAAATGTGCAGCTGTCTAGTCTGCGACATGCTGTTTATTAAACCTTCTGCCCTGTTTATCCCTGTGGCAGCATGATCTTCTTGTCCCATCATCTACTCTTTTTACATCCGATAATACCTTCAGGCAGCCTTCCCAGGTAAGGTTAGGTGGCTCTTCTAACTGTTCATAGAGCTCTCCTTGAATTCTCCTGCTACTGCTCTTATAACTGTTTATGATAATTACAGTAAATCAGTGACATCTCTGCATATAGGGACATATTTTCAATGTCAGTGAAGTATCTGGTTTATAGTAGGTATACAACAAATATTAAATCAACCTGAATGTGAAATATGAGGATCAATATGTGGAAATAAAAAAAGAATCCTTCCCATAGAAATATTCTTATTTCTCTATGAAAAAACCTGGTTGATTTGGGATAAACTCATCTTAGTCTTCTTTCCTCCTATCATTTGCTATATTTTATAATAATTCTTAGTAAAAGGAATGCTTATGTTTATGATAGGTTCTTCTCTGAATTATTCAGGAATATTCTGGCATGTTTTTGTCTCATATTCTCTCTCATTTTAGTGCTGCAGGAACTCCTAGCTATAACAAAACCATGGCTTCCTGTATGGCATAGTGGGTGTTTTTTGATCAATGACCAAACACTTAGAAACTGTCTCTAGCACTGGGTTGGTGCTGGGAGTAAAACAGTGAACAAAAATCCTGCATGTCCAGTCCTCATGACACCTACAGCTCAGTGAGAAGGGTGAGAGGAGGAATAACAATAAATCACAAATGCTGATTTTGAGTGAAGCTTATGGGAGTCTAGTGTCCATTTTGAATGGGGTCATTAAGCTGTACCTGAGAGGTAATAGGTTAAATGTGGTATTGATGTAATCGAACCGCCTACTTATTTTTCCCATAATCCCCAACCCCTGCACAGATGTATCTTCACAATCTTTACCATCTCAGTGATGGCTAGTTCCATAAAACTAGAAACACTGGACATATCCTTGACATTTTTCTCTCCCACCTGGTTTTCATCTAATCTATCAAGTCCTCTTGCTCCTCCAATATATCCCAAATTCCTCAGCTTCTCTCCATCTTGGCTACCACCACTTTATTCCTAGTCACCATTGTTTACCACTAGTCTCCTAACGCCACATCTTTCCACTCTTGCCTCCTGTCGTCTATGCTGCACACAAGTGAGTGATCTTTAGTGCCTTTAAGTCAGATTAATGCATTTCTTTGGATGTAAGACTTTATTGTTGTGACACATTATTTTAGGTACTAATATGAAAAAAACATATGATTTCACATGTTCTTACTTGAATTTTTAGATTTATAATAGCTTTCAGACTTTGAGATTTTTATAATATATCACTCTTGCAAATTTAAAATGAAAATATAAATGAAACTGGTTAAAGTATTTCAAAGGCAATGACAATAACTCCAATCTGGTCAATAGTAACTGAAAAATACCATTATTTCAATACATTCTTGATTTTAGAGAGTGTGCCTTAAAATCTGGGAAATTTGGTCTTTCACTCACCACCAAACTCCCACCACTTCATTTCCTCTAGCTACCTTTCTGTTTACCAAACAAGTCAAGTCAGCATGCATCTCAAGGAGACTCTTTATGCTCTTACTGGAATGTTCTTCTTGCAACCTTTAGAATGAGGGACTGCTGGTCCACTTGCAACTTCAGCTATAATGTCTTCTCCTCAAAAAGACATCCTCTAACCACTCAGTATAAAGTTGTCTCTTCTCTCACTTGCCATTTCTGATCATTCTTGATTTTTTTTATAGTACTTATTTGAAACAATTGGGTCTATTTATGTAGGCACTGAAGTATTTTATGTCTTTCCGTGTTAGAATACACATCCCATGAAAACAGGAGCCTTGCCTGTATTTATCTACTACTCTATTCACTATCTAGAACAGTGTCCTGAATGTAGAAAGAGTTCAATAAAACTCTGTTAAATGATGGATTATTGGATGACTTTTGGAGTTTAGAGGGGACATCATGACTAGAGATATAAATTGGAATTGGGGGTAGCATTGGTGTATAGAAATATATTAGGTCATGGATGTGGATGATACTGAAAGAAAGAAGGGCCTAGAATCATGACAGGAGAAACTCTAATATTTGATGGATTAATAGTGGTGGATGCCTTACAATTGAGCCTTAAATGGTGCGGCCAGAAAAGTTAGGAAGAAACCATGTGTGTCATAGAGCAAAGGAAGAAAATATTTTATGAAGAAGTAAGTTATCGGCAGTGTGAAATACTGCTGAAAAAGACCATAAAAAGAGGACT